TGGTGGAGCGGAGCTGCCTCGTTGGGGGGCTCAGCTCTGGAGCAGCGGAGGAGGGATGGGGGCACCAGTGTGCCGGAGCAGGGTGGCACAAGGCTGATGTCGCAGGCTTGGCCTTTGGGTGCCTGGTCTTGGCTCCGAGTTTGGGTGCTGCCAGAGTGCCTGAATTAGAATCAGATGGGTTACATACATGTGTAGCTCAGGCTGTTTGCTTGGAAGCTCTAGGAATTCAACAGCAAACCCCATGGGAAAGGGATGAAGCAGCTCTGGAACAGCTGCTGTTGAAAAAGGAGGGAGTTAAGAGCAGGAAGAACATTGGGTCTATTTGAGGAAAGGAGACCTCCTGCGTCAGGAAACAAAGGGAGTGGAGAGAGGGAGGAAATGCATTAAGAAAAGAACAGCTGAAGAAATAAAGCCCATCCCACTGCAACCAGGCCTGTGTCTGGGAACGCAGCAGCCTGGGGAAGCAGGGGGAGGCAGGAAGCGGTGGGGGTGATAACATGTGCCTGGCCTCCCAGACCAAATGCTGGAGTAAATGACTGCAAAGGGTATTAGGCACGAGGGGGTATGAGGGACAGAAGCACAAGGCTTTTTGAAATTAAGCAGCCTCTGGGATCAGCTGGTCACTCATTTTCCCTTCTCCCCATCATGCTGATGAGGCCTCCTCATTCACACTTTGATCAGACACAAATGAGAGGGTTGGACAGGAAGGATGGGCTGAAAGTCCCCTGGGGTGGCATGCAGCCTGGCCCTCTGGCTTCAGAATAAGTGAGTTGCTTCGAGAGGTATGGTGGCTCATAGCAACCAGGTATATCCCATGAGTGTTGCAGCCCCAAAGATGCTCGGTGGCACCAGGTTTGCCTTCATCCTCAGCCTGGTCTGACCATGGACCAAGACTTTGGCATCATCCCAAGCTTGTCACATGGCAGGAGGAAGGAAGGAATTTGTTTGTCCATATAAAGACAGAACATTTATTGAAACAGTCATTAATAAAGCAGTTTGAGTGTCTGAGTCATGCATGGTACAGTTAGGACTCATCTGGCATCACAGGTGAGAATTCCCTGTCATGAATTCACAAGAGACAGAATTTAATTGAGTCTTATTCAACCTGCAGTCATAAATTAAATAATAATTGCAGAATCTTGCAGAAGCATGCAAGCCCTTTCTGAAGGACAGTTGCCACCCGGCATAGCTCTTACCTCACTTTGCCAGGAGGTGAGCAGAAGCAGGTGGGATGTGAAGACTGAAATATTTCTAAGGTGAAAATCTACTCATTGGGGATGCCCCAAGTAGGGCATTTTCAACACAGTAAAGGCGGGGCTGACAATGGTAGGTTGCACTGATGCCAAAAAGAGCTGGAGGTGCTCAGCGCCACTGAACGTAGGAGTGGAGATGTGCACAGGAGACGCCCAGAAATCATGGCAATGCTCAAGGAATGGCTCCACATGGGAGTGGGAGAGCAGGGACTGGAATGCAGGGGTCTTGACCCTGATCTGATC